ATTAATCTAAACTCGCTTTGTGAAACCGAAAACCCAGAGTTTTCGTTAACTCAGGGTATACTTACTCAGAGTTTGCACTAAATAGCCCTGAAATAGGGCCCTGGTCTAACGTCTAGAGACGTATCTGTAACGCGAGGCTGCTGATTGTTGGCTGAAATGCGATCTTCACTGCTTTTAAAGGACCGTCTGGTTTAATGGCTTTAGGTGTAGCAGAGTTATTAGAGTTTTGTTTTTGAACGTTATTGTGACCTGTATTGCTGTATAGAGGGTGTGTGTCACAGGCACGATCTATGACACTGAACAGCGACCCTCAGCCTCAAAGATGTCCATAAAAATCTCGTCAGTCACGATGTCCCAGAATTATTCCAAACCAACAAAGATTTACACTATATTTTTATCCTATTTTATTTTCCACGTTCATTTCAGTTTGAGTTTTTAATTGTTATTTAAAAGACTACGACTAAGAATTTTTACTTTAGTGTACTGAAATGTGCCGACACAGCTAGTTTTAGTGAACTAACCCTACTCCTACCTCAGCGTTTCTCTGTGCTGCTGGCTTTTAAACCTCACCCTGAGCTAAAGTGAACGGCACAGCTCCACGCAGCTGTGAGTCACGTGAGCAGCTATGACTTTATCCAAAGTTTCTGGATGTCTTCCATGACCCTCACAAACTCCCCCACACCCTGATGCACGGACACACCTTCAGTCTGGGCACGTTTTAAAATAATGAACACACCTGCCAGGTATTATATTACCCCCCACCTGTGTCCATCGCCTCAGCGAGTTTTCCGTCTCCTCCTCCGGAGATCTTACGGGGCTTTAAGTACGCTGCTGACCGATGTGAAGCAGCGATATCCGGGTTCTGTCTGGGACTCCGCCGCCGCTGCTTATTCTGTCTCAGTTCGGTCAGAGTAGGAGGACGAAAGTCCCGCAGTTTTCGGACGGTTATCTGGACGGATCCGGGTCCCGGTCCGCCTCCGGGACCGGTGCGGTCCGGGTGGAGGACTCGTGTGGAGCGGATTAAAACGTCCCCGGTGTCTGAGCTGCAGGAGGACTGATCCGGACTGAGTGCAGCCGGAGAAGACATGACGCTGTTTACCTACAGTGTTAATAAAGCTTATTTAAAGCTGCACTGTTAGCATGGAAGCTAACTTCGTCCAGACTTCCCGCTCCGGCTCTAAAACCCGCCGCTGGCCGGGTAAAGGTCGGAGGAAGGCGGCGGTCAGCGTCGCGGGGGACGAGGAGAGAGTTAAAACAATTTACACCCCAACGAGACGCCAGGAAAAACCCCCACAGAAAGTACGACAGAAAAAAGAAAATGTTCAAACACAGCAACTGTTGCTGACAACAAACAACCGAACTTCCGGCTTCCGCTCCAGACAGGATGCTGAATAAACTCCGCTTAAAAATCAAAACACGAAGAAGAACAAACGGCATTGAGAAACAAAGTAAACACAGCAAATTAAAATTTTATTTATTAGCCGAAAACTGGACAGTACACCTCTATCATAGAAAAATCAATGAGTGCGAAAATGACTGAAAAAATGTATTCAAACGAATTTTAACTCAATTAAATAACAAATAAAAACATAATGAATGAACTTAAATAAAATAAAATTATAAAGTAACAATATAAAAAAACCCAAAAGAACCAGAGGTCTTGTCGAGATGAAATATTATTTTACATTCATAATCTGTGACTATTCATAATCATTATTACCGTTGCATCACTTATGATGTATCATTATTATCATTTCATTGACACATTTATGGAAACTGGTGAGGTTATATTAAAGTCCGTATTTCAGGTGTTAGCATGAGCACATAATCTTTCATTGCAGGTGCAACTGTAATCATGTTATACACATATTGCATAATTAAAGGGTTGAAGCTCGGTCAAGTTAATTAATGGTTTGAAGCTACGGGCAGCGCGATGTCTGGTCGATCAATGGAGCAAAGTTCAGCTATTGAAAGGTTGCCTACATATTTACCGTATAATTTACTACATATTGCCTGTGTGCATTCAGCAGCCTCCTGCATTGAAGTTTGCCTGGTAACAGAGGACGTAGAGGGGGGTCAGGTTAACAACACAGACACATAGTCTGCCTGAGGGAACTGATTGCAAATGCTGTGTACCTGCATACGTGACAGTTTAGTTCTGATAAGTCCAGTGTAAGAGTGTAATAACAGGATGCATCTGTTAGGTGGACGAACATCGGAAGGAACTGTTCTTTTTGGAATATCTCCTGAGATAGAATTACTGGAACATGCATGTTGTTTTTCATCTGTAGTGACGCATGTCACCATGGTCATCATGTCTATAAGTATCACACGCCAACTATTGTTCGGAGAAGTTCGATGTTTTTTGGGTGATCGTGCTCGACTTCCCCCCATATGTTTTTCAATAAAATCATGTTTTGACGCACCTGAATGGGACTTTGCAGTCATTTGTCTCTCACCTCAAATTCGAACCACGACAGTCTCTTCATATAACAATGGATTCTTGATCTTTGGTTTTTACGTATTTGAACGACTTTTGAATGTGCCATGAGTTTGGGACATCATTCATAAATACTTGAAACACTCGTCTCACTCGTTCTGGAAGCTGCAGTTGTGAAAACAGCTTCTTTGTCAGAGGGCATTTTACTGCTTGTGAGAACTCTGTTTTTCTGAAATGTGTTTGAAACGACCCTGTAAAGTTGGACTGGTTCAGGAGAAATTATGATTGAAGATGGTTTGCCTTTATAGAAGGACTTACTGATGAAGTTTAGATTTAGTTTATTGCGATTATATTCGGAGGTCGGAACACCAGTCACAGAACTTTTGTTGCTCTTCGGTAAGTTTCGGTTTCTGACCTGAACATTCGTCACATTTTTCTCTCAAATGTACATTTTTATTTGTGTTTTGAGTTTAAAATTATTAATTAATAGCTGAACGTTAAGTTTAATGTAAGCCTCATGTGTTTTTTTCTTTTTAATTTAGATGAAAAGTCGCAAAAATATCGGAGAGGATCGGCTGCTCTGTGCGCATGCGTCCTTCAGTCCGTCACTCGGAGGTTCCCTTCAGGCAGCTCGGAGCTCAGGTGGAATAAAAACTGTCCTCCTGCTGCTGTAAAGGGAAACTGAGCGCTGCTGCTTGGGAGGCTGAAGAAGAACATCTCCAGGAGAACAGAGGGACCCTCATCACAGGGCGGGGACACGGCGCTAACCGGGCTAGCCGATAGCCGTTAGCAGCAGCAGTCCGTTTAAAGTGCTGTTTTATCAGGTAGGTTTGTTCATCATGTCACTAAATCCCGGGTAACCTCTGCTATCTGAAGCGTTACTAAACCAGCCAACCTAAGCTGAACGGTACACCTGTAAGGTCACATTGAAAGAATAACACGTGAGCGCCGGAGGAGCTTTAAAAGAGGCGGACCACGAAGTGCGCTAAAAATGGAGGATTTATGAATGGAGTCTGGTGTGTTAGCATTACTGCTAATTGTCGCCCTGTTTCCCCTCCCACAGAGTCCGAATCATGGCGGTCCAGGTGTCCGAGTCCGACCAGATCAAACAGGTAAGTGACCCCAAGAGTTTTCATGTCGACTCTGAGAAAAGAGGCTCAGAATTCAGAGGCACAAAGTCCGGTTACTGTGGCCTCCAGGGTCCATAGAAAGCCCGCACTGAACTATACAGCAAGGAGTCGAAGGGGCTTGGAAAGAAAAGCGTCTGGACTTCTTTAGGTTGCTGGAAGACATTTCACTAGTGATGGGTCCAGCAATATGGAAGAAATATAGTATCATCAGAATTCAAGTATTCTTCCATACAGCAACACCGACGCATGTATCAAGCTAGCGATGCCCGTATCGGTGCGTGCGTCGCTTTAAGAAAAAGTCACGTGATCGATACAGCTGCTGTATCGCTCATTGCCAACGCGCCAAACTGTGTTTAAAAGGTACCGCATCTGCCAACGGAATGAGTCGCCACCAAAAAAACACAAAATTACTCAAGCAAAGACTAAAAAACAAAACACATCAAAATGGAGCCCGAAAGAAAAAGAAATGTTTCTGCTGTGTGGGATCATTTTGATCTTTTAACTGCAAATAAGGTAATAGTTTGTCTTTGTTTCAGTGTAATCTATCAGAACAGGAAAAACAGCAATGTGACTTGAAGTTTAAATTATTTATTTCATTTGATGCAGGATAAATTTTGCATCTGTTCTGCGGAGCTTTCTTACACAAACAAAAGCACATCCTCAGTGTTTAGGCATTACAGAGCCAAACATGAAAATGAGGAGACAAACACACCGAGAATGAACACTGGTAGGCCTATATAGACACTAAACATCTTTATGATCATTTGTTTTAAATTAATGTGTTTTATTATTTTCAAATCAAGCATCTAGGAAGACTGCTCTGGACCAGGCAGTCCTGAATTTTATTATAAAGGACTGCCAACCCCTTAGTATTGTGGAGAGAGAGTGTAACGTACTGAGGGAATAGGAAGACATCTTATCAGAACCTTTTCCACCTGGCTTTACAGTTTTTGTTTACCCCAGCTGTATCTGTTCCTGTGAGTTTTCCAAAGCTGAGGAAATGGTGTGTTTAAAAAAAAAACAAAAAACGCAATAGACTGAATGCAAAAACATTGGATAAACCTATTTTTCTGAATAGAAATTTATAATAAACTCTGAGTCAAATACATTTAAATGGGTAATGTTACATTCACAATACTTTCATTTTAATTTTCACATAATGTCATTCATAATATATTTTAAAGATGTCTACAATATTTGTAATATAGAAGATATAAAATGATTCCATGGAAAGTACAATACCTTACAATGTACAAGTATGACTAGGTCATTGAATCAGTGTCTGTTGTGAGTCTCAAGTAAGTTGCCTGTAATGATATTTAAGGTCCAGCAGGTGTCAGTATGGAGCAAAACTGTGCCGACGCAGTGTCGATACAGTTTGGGGAATGTGCTGAAATGCTTCACGAGGCCTCATCTACCCATCACTACATTTCACCTCTTGTCTGAGAAGCTTCTTCAGTTCTGGGTTAGCTTCTCGAATGAGTACTCCTTAGACTACGATGACCTGGATGACTGAGAACCTTCACAGATATACAGCAAGGAGGCCTGTGAGGGACAAAAAAGGAGAGAGCGACAGGTAAAAATAAATAGCTAAAAACAGAATCAATCAAAACAAACTCGAATATCGTCAATGCCAGAACACTGTGCCAGCTTATTGGGACCAATACATGAGGGGACAAGAAAGTAATTAGTTTTAATTTAGAAATGAAAAATTCCTTTAAAGAGTAGCTAAAAGCAATGCACATAAATAATAAATAAATGAAACCGTATAATTGAGAGATAGGATCATGAAATGTTTTTAAAGTAAAAAATTAAGCACGTAAATTAGAACGTATGATAAAAGTAACTTCAAAGATAAAGTATTTAAGATAAGATAAAACCTTATTAATCCCTCGGCACAGCACCGACAGAAGTTACAGAGCGTGAGCAGAATAATATATATATGCAATAGACCTCAATACTTGAAATGTGCAATTCACTTGTATTTTTTATTTGGATTCCTATTTATCTCCTTTGTATAAATAGGAATACAAATAAAAAATACAAGTGAATTGCACATTTCAAGTATTGAGGTCTATTGCACCGCTGACTATTAACAAAAAGTATTGCACAAAAGGTATTGCACAGTGAAGTGAAGAGGCACTACAGCTTAGTTGTTCCCCCCTCCTTTGTCCTCCAGAGAGGAGTTAAACAGTTTGATGGCGTGTGGGACAAAGGAGTTTTTAAGTCTGTTGGTTCTTGTCTTTGGGAGAAGCAACCTGTCACTGAACAGACTCTTCTGGTTGTTTATGGCCGTGTGCAGAGGATGCCCAGCATTGTCCATAATGTCCAGCAGTTTTTTGTTTTGTTCTTTAGTGTCCTTTTCTTTGCCACTGTCACCAGAGTGTCCAGCTTCATGCCGACCACAGAGCTAGCCTTCCTGATCAAGGAATTTGTTCATTTCGCTTCTGTCAGTGCGCCCCAGTGCAGCTGTAGCTTGTTATCACCAGTGTGTGAATGGATGGAGGACTGAATGTAGTGTAAAGCGCTATACAAATACAGGCCATTTACCATTTATAAATGAAAATAAATTAAATAAAAATAAATCAAATGAAACTAGAAAATATTAAATGGCATTATGAAAAATTATAGTTAAGAAATGAATATCTGAAATGAAAAGCAAGTTTGTAAAAAGGGAGGTTAATGAATGGAAAAAGGTGAAACTTCAGGAAATGAAAACAGAAGAAAATAAAAAAAATGGTTAAAAGTTTTTGAAAAAGAATATT